TGCTCTTTGCCACCTGCAAGTGCTCTTGGCCACGCCCACTTCTCAGCTCTACATGCTGAACAGCTGATTAGCTGCAGCAGGAAGTTTATCCTGCAGCAGTATGGGCTGCATAAAGGTGCTAAATAATTAATATATATATATTTTAAATAAAAACAGCATGCCAATTGTGCGGCTCATCAATCAATTGCCAATTGTGTGTCATGTCCAATCTTATTTTGAAAAACCACGATAGCGCGAGTCCGCGATACACAAACAGCAAAGGAGCGAGGGACTACTGTATACCAATATACTGTATTACCATATCATATACAAATTATCAACTAAAAACATTACATAAAAGTTACACAATTATTTGTAAACTTGTTTTTTGGGGCGGTGGGGTGTTGATATCCCACAGCCCAGTCCGAGTTGGCTCCCACAAATTGGTTATGTGCCGAAGTGACACACAGTTTACAATAAAATAAATCAATTTCTGACACACTGATCTTCTGCCAAACACACCTGTCAACAGAATGTTTTTTCATTCCAACCTCTCCTGCAGCTGTTAATGGATGTGTTTAATAATAGCATCAGTTTCTATATCAAAGCAATTTTCTTTACTAAAATTATTGTCGCTGCCTGAAAATTTCTGATAATTTGCTTTAGCTGCCACCAGTCGAGTAAACTTTACTGTTCAACTGAATTAACTTTCCTACATGTAACTTCTCGTGTACTATGACAAAGTGTACTGAAAGACCTTTCTCCTTTGTGACACTTTATGTGACCTGTGAAATCTGAACTTACTGAAGCTTTGAACACAGATAATACAGCTGAAAGGTTATTTACCTGCATGAATACTTGTGTGTTCCACAAAGTCCTGTTCCCGTTCAAACACCACCTTGCAAACGGAGCAGCTAAAATGTTTTTCTCCACGGTGAGTTGCTGAGTGTTTTGCGAGGCTATGCTTCCATTTGAAAGCAGCGTGACAGATGGAACAACTGAATGGTTTCTCTCCAGTGTGAAGTCTCATGTGACATGTTAGACCATACTTGCAAATGAAGCTTTGGCCACAGATTGAGCAATTGTAAGGTCTTTCTCCAGTGTGGGTCCTTGTGTGTTGTACAAGACTTTGTTTCCATTTAAAAGTTGCATGGCAGATAGAACAGCTGAAAGGTTTCTCTCCTGTATGAAGTCTCATGTGACAAGTTAGACCATAGTTGCGACTAAAGCTTTGGCCACAGGTAGGGCAGCTGTAATGCCTCTCTGCAGAGTGGGTTGTTTTGTGCTTCATTAAATTCATTTTACACTGAAAAGTTTTGTTACAAAGTGAGCAGCAATGAGGTGTTTTAGCGTGACGTCTCAAGTGAGTAGTTAGACTGTTCTTCCTAGAAAACGTTTGACCACAAAGGGAGCAACTGAAAGGTTTCTCTCCAGTGTGTGACCTTATGTGCTGCATCAAAGAATGTTTCCTTGTAAAAGCTGCTTTGCAGACAGAGCAGCTGAAAGGTTTCTCTCTAGCGTGGATTATTTTGTGTCTTAACAAATACAAATTGTGGTTGAATTTTTTCCCACATTCAGTGCATCTGTAAATCTGCTTACCACTCTCAGATCTTGCATCACCTACAGGAGCTTTGTTATTTCTGACGGGTTTTAAAGCTGACTGAGATTTACTGCTTTCCTCCCAGTTCCCATCACTGACATCTGTCTCTGAAAAATCTGAAGGTTTGTCTTCGAGGTCTGTTTCTAAACGTTGATCTGATTCTTGCCCTAAATAGCTCCTGTTCTCTGCAGCCTGGTTGAGATGAAGCTCTGAGAACCAAGTTTCCTCTTCATTATCTTCACTCTTCACATGGACAGAACTGAATGTGAGCTCTGTGATATCAGCTTCTTCCTGTTCCTCTTTAATGTGAATTGTCTTTAGGTCCTGCTGATCCAAACTGAGACTTTGGTTCTTCTGCTCAGAAGAAAACTCCTCTTTGATCATCAAAAGCTGCTGAGTATCTGCTTAAAAAAACAAAACACAAACAAGTTGTGAATAACGGCCACATGTAAAAATTAAATTATATAAATCCAGGCTATTTTTTAATTTAAGTTTTGAAATATTCAAAGGAAAAGGATTATTGCTGAAATTTTGACTACAATGACGAACAACCTTCACAGTCATTGTTTTTAAAGCAACAACTATTAACATGCTGTCAGTAACATTTCAATCCAAAAGCACTTTTCAGAGCCTAAATACGAGACAACAATTGCAGATGCTGTCTCAGTCACATGTATTAACACATGGTTAAACACGATCGAGGAATCAGCATGTTTAGGGCCATCCTGCCACCCAGCTCACATTGCACTCGACCATGCCTATGGTAGGCTCATGTAGGTGGTTTTCTGTAGCCTTTTCTGTTTTGAACTGGCAAGTCTTCAGGAAAAACACACCTGGCTCGCCCACCAAGTACATGCCTGTGAGCCTAAATCCTAAAGCCTGGCTCCTGAAGGGTGCACAGGTTCCCTGCTACAAACATGGAGGCAGGTTTTCTGTAGTCTTGCTTTTAGTTAGAACATTGACTCAAAGGCAAATTTGCCCCAGATGACCCATTTAGACAACATAGGCTCTAAAGGGCCTGCACACACACTTTTGCAGTTCTTCTTTGTGTACTTTCTATTGCACTGTTAGGCAACTGATGTACAAACAAACCGATTTCTTGCTATACCTGACAGAAAAAAATTAAATAAAATTGAGAAACCGCATGTAAGAAAACTAAGTACACCCCATGATTCAACATCTTGTATTGTAGTTGTAGTAGCATTATAGTTATTGTAACCAGTAAGTTGAAGTAGTTTTCTGTAGAATCAGTCTCTCGTAGTGTTTGGAAGAATGTCATCCCAGTCTGTTGCTACATTTCACATACTTTGTACTCTTGAAGGTAGATCACTATAAATATCAGATAATTACTATATCCTGAAACTTAAAACCCTAAACTGAAAAATAATGCACTCACTTTTAAGACAAGTGTGGAAAAGATCAATAACACACAAATTACACACTTAGCCTGGACATTCTAAAAATAAACTAACAAAACATGTAATATATTGCTACGTTCTGTGTTATCTTGTTTCTAATTATGGCTGTTAATTTTACCTGCTGAGACATAAGAACCACTCCGTGGATGGTTCTCTGTGTTCAGCTGGTGTTTTGGGGATGATCGGAAATCTTCCATGGCATCAGATCCAACAAGCTGTTTATCAGCATTCTCGGGAAACTCTTTACGAGTCCACTTTCAAAGTGGCATTTGTTTTTGTGTGTAAAAGGCATGCACTCATATCAAAGTATGGCTCTGACTTGCTGTTGTTCAGTATCCAGACCGTTACTTCCAGCTAGCACGCTAAGCTAACACTTGTGACATTTGTCGCTTTCGAGACAAGACATTAAAAAAAAAAAAAAAGATGGAAAAGTGCACGACGTTTATAAAGTCACCTCAACAAAGAAGTTTGGCTCAGCGTCGAGAATAAACACACTGTACAAAAACACAACTGAAATTTGTCCAAGGCGTCCACTATGCGAGAAAATTACTTCCGGGTTGTTGATTGTTTACATGCGCTTTCAAAATAAGATCGTCTTAGACAACACAAATCTAAGCACCCTTTTCCTGGGTTGCCAAGTCACAACTTTGATCTACAAATAGAGGAAATCCATAACCTCATCTTAATGAAGCTTTTGCACAGTATTCATCTCAGACATGAATCTTTAAAGTTGGACGTCTTAAATAAAATCATTGTTACTGAACAAAATGTATTTCTTTACGTACAATAAAATAGGCATAACACAACAGCAATATTCAATCACCGGACAGGTGCTCAGGAATCAGAGTACCCGGTGATAAAAATCTCTAAAATACTACAAGTTTGTTTGTATCTAATTCAACTGTTAAAATTACATTAAAAAATCATAAATATATGCTACACGTAGGGTTCAATTGTTTACGTACGGAGTTGTGTTTTCATTTTTCCATCCATCCATCCATCCATCCATCCATCCATCCATCATATTTTACCTCCATCCATCCATCCATTATCTTTACCCGCTTATTCCATTTTGGGTCACGGGGGTCGCCGGTGCCCATGTCCAGCAATCACTGTGCGAGGGGCGAGGTACACCCTGGACAGGTCGCAAGTCCATCACAGGGACACATAGAGACAAACAACCATTCACTCTTTCACTCACACCTAGGGACAATTTAGAGTTACCAATCAGCCTAACTTGCATGTTTTTGGTCCGTGGGAAGAAACCGGAGTACCTGGAGAAAACCCATGCATTCACGGCGAAAACATGCAAACTCCACCCAGAAAGGCCCCTGGTTCGGGATTTGAACCAGGGACCTGCTCACTGAGAGGCAGTAGCAGTTGCATCACCGTGCAGCCTACTTTCATATTTCTTTATAAAAATAGCATATTTTTTAAAAGTTTCCTACAATTTTTGTGTTGTTTTATTCTGCTATTTAAAAACGACAATACACAGAACAGTGTAAAAGCCTCAAGCCATCACTGCATTTAAAAATATATATTTTTTGGGGTACCACAAAAAAAAAAAAAAAATGTCACAATTTGAGTTTTATTCTGAAAACCTATACCGGAAGCAGTTGTTAGCAGTATTTTTAGAATCTACGGTCTGTGAAACTCTTTTGGAGTAGCTTTTTTTTTGTTTTTAACAGCTTTTAATTATGTTTCCCCGTGTAAAATTACTGAAAGAGGGTCCGAAACGTTCAGGTTTGTATTTATTTTATTTGTATTTGTTTACCGTGATGTTAATGTGAAATATCTGTGCTAAGCTAATGTTAGCTGTCGTTTGTTCACAGATAGGACATCCCATTTTCAAAATGTCATTGCTGTTCACTTGTTTACACTTCAAAAGCATACGTTTTTAGATTATGACATGAATACTTGTATCTGTGTAGCATTGCCGTACTGATAAATACTGTATAATTATACTTATTTTTAGAAAATAGATGAATATTTACCGAGTAGCTTTTCTTCTTGTAACCTGTTTGTAGCAAGAAAAATATATATATTTGGTCATCACTGCTGACCATGCAAAGATCTGACAAACTTTCAAATACAACATTTTAAGAATCTTTTTGTTGGCGCTAAAATACTGTTTTGCATCTGCCTTATCTGTGGTATATTTAGCCTTTTTTATTCTTTGTATTTAAAAAAAACAGCACATTGAGTTTCTTTGCTGCTGATCACCAGAAGACAATAAAAAAACATCTGTATAAATCAAGTTCTTTATTTTCACATAGGGCTGGAGTGCGCTACACTTTTTCTTCAATAAATTAATAAGAAATGGTAATAAAAAGTGTATTATTACAGTTTGTAATAAAAATTCCTGCATTCATTTAAAAATTAGTTCTTTACTAAGCGTTTTTAAAACTGTAATACTCGATAATCTCCTTAGTTGGATTTCTTATTTATGCTTGAATCTTTTCATCGGCTTTGTAAGGTTGCTTAACAAACAAAAACAAACATTTATTTGAAAATGACCAAATTTTACTGGAGTGAAATGCTTGTGTGTGGTCATGTTGGTTCAATCGGTGAGCCTACAGTGACTCAGGACAGATTGTTTTCAGAATACTAAATTTATGCAGTAATAAGAATAAGAAATGAACTAAGAAATACACTAAACTAAGAATACACCAAGCACTAGTAGTACAAAAACAATACGCCGAACAACAGCAGCACGAATATGAGTCTGTGTGAGCAGATGAGTACGAATGAACACAGCAGCATGAAATAAATCAGCAGCATAAGATCAGCAGCATAAGTCAGCAGCACATATCACAATCAAGTGGCATTACAGTGATTTTTTTTCCCCACAGTGATAATTCTGGTTAGGGATTCATGAGTCTAATAACCTCAGGGTAGAATCTGTTCCTCAGACTAGTGGTTTTACACTTAATGCTCCTTAACCTCCTTCCTGAGGGGAGCGGGGCAAAAAGTGAGTGTGCTGGGTGAGTGGGGTCCTTCATGATGCAGTTGGCCCTCTTCCTGCATCTGTGATGGTGGGAGGCTGACTCCAACAGACTTCTATTCAGCCATAATAATAATAATAATAATAATAATAATAGGGCAGCACGGTGGCACAACTGGTAGAGCTGCTGCCTCTCAGCGAGCAGGTCCCTGGTTCAAACCCCGGTCCAGGGGCCTTTCTGGGTGGAGTTTGCATGTTCTCTCCGTGCATGCGTGGGTTTTCTCCGGGTACTCCGGTTTCCTCCCACAGTCCAAAAACATGCATGTTAGGCTGATTGGTAACTCTAAATTGTCCCTAGGTGTGAGTGAGAGAGTGAATGGTTGTTTGTCTCGTTTGTCTCTATGTGGCCCTGTGATGGACTTGCGACCCGTCCAGGGTGTACCCCGCCCCTCGCACAGTGATTGCTGGACATGGGCACCAGCGACCCCCTTGACCCAAAATGGAATAAGCGGGTAAAGAAAATGGATGGATGGATGGAATAATAATAATAATAAGAATGTTCATCGGCCCGAAAGTGAATATTCTCGAAACAATACATTCTTGAACAGCATTATTTGTTTTACTGTATGTATTCTCCATTTAAAGCCAATCCTAAATGTTTCTTGTATGTGTGTCTTGTGGTAGTTGTGCTATTATGGTCACTGTGAATCATTTTATTTTGTTCAGCAACAAAGGTCGTAAATGTTAGCATGCTAGCTGGAAGCTAGCAGCTAAGCTTACGGGTTGTGGCATACTCCTTAAAATGAACATGACATAGACTCTCACGTTGATGGTATTTATGCTGCATCTCTATATTGTTATAAGTAACATTAATTTACATTCACCTTTGTTCAGGTTTTGATTAACTTAACGGGTCGTGACTGAAGAAATTAGTACAAAATACGACAACTAACGGAGGCTGTCTCTTCAATGACCCGACATGACATGGACTCTCACGTTGATGGTATTTATGCTGCATCTCTATGTTTTTATTATGAGTAACATTATTTTACATTCACCTTTGTTCAGGTTTTGATTAACTTTACAGTTCTTTCAGATTATTTATTGCTTTATTGTCTGTCGCAGCAGAGTTAATTAATTAATCAAATTTGTTAATATACCAGAAGTAATTACTTCAGATTGTCTTTTATAGTTGAAGAGTCAGCATTGTGCAAGTTCACCATTTATAGCCAATATTAAGAGTTCAGCTCACACTGATAAAATCTGAATTAATTGTTCCTTTTTCCACTACTTAAAATGACATTCACAGTCCCAAAATTAACCTGTTCACTTTTGTGAAAGTTTCACAAGATGAAATTTTCTAAAATGTATTAGTTTTGGTAGAAAATATGTCAAATAAATATTAATTGCTTTAATTAAAATAAATTAATTACGAATTCTGATATACCCATAAAAACATTCATAATATTAAAAATTGCATTTCATAATTTATAAAGCTGTAACTGTATTACGGGAAATTAAATTTAACGTCTTTTAAAAATGCTTAAAGTTTGAGTGGCTACAGTAACATTTATTAGCTAAATTTTAAGGATCTAAACTAAACATGTTTGTGCACAACACCAGGGATGGATAGGCTTTAACTATAACTATAACTACAACTAACTATACAAGTGTATTTTTGTGTCAACAGTTGTTCTGCATAAGGTTTTGTTTACCATTTTCATTAAATAAGAATTTATTGTTTGTCGTGCCTGTAATTTACATAAGGCATTATGGGTAACAGGAACATGATAGATAAAGCAACAAAAGCTAACTAACTTTTAAAAAGACACTTGAGCCTTAAACAGACTGTTGCTCCTGTCTTTCTCTCGGGCATGTCTGAATAAAACTGTATAAAAAATAGGGGTGCAGACAAAAATTGATTAAAAAAAATAAAATTTAGATCTTAGTCCTGGCAATTCTGAATCGATTCTAAAGGCCCATAAATCGATTTAAAAACAAGTTTGTATTATTTTTTTTCCACTCCTACTCCTGAGCGTACTGTATATCGCATTACATGTCCGCTTGGCCGCCGTAGAATTTGGCCGTGTAGGCCACCGTACAGCAAGCTAGTTAGCCAGCTCCCTTTATCTGAATGGAGTCTGCTAGCATGGAGGACGGGGACAGCATGATTCAACTCGCTACTTCCTCTTTCAAAATCATTTCAGATTCTACAATGTTCTGGGAGAAGACAGAGCTTAACAAGAGCTTGGTTGTTTGCAAGAAGTGTAAAATAAAATTACAGTACAGTATTTTGGAAATACAACAAAATGCGTGAAAGATGAAAGCAAAAGCAGCAGAGCAGTGAACAGGAACAACAAACTTCCAGGTTTCCCCAAAGGCTGCGAAGATTTCTCACTCCATTGCCTGCTATATTGCAAAGGATTTACTAGCAAACAGCTCAGTGGAAGGCGAGGGGTTTAGGTTTATTTTCAATACGCTGGACCCAACGTACGTTATTCCTTCACATAGCTTTTTAGTGATAAAGCTGTGTCACAACTCCAACATGAAACAAAAGAATAACGTGGGAGAAGCACTGATTAATGCACCAGCTTCAGCTCAAAGGTAACTGTTTTTTCTCATATTATACTAAAACTTATAGGGCCGGTTTTGCAGACAAGGCTTAATGCTAGTCACAGACTAAAATGCTGTTTGAGCTGGTTTAGCTTTAAGTCCCTTGCACAGTCTTATCTTAAAATAATTGCAGATTTAGTGTGTTCTGTATTAAACAAATCCAATTGCAGGAAGGTGGATCAGAGCTACCCTGTGACTAAATTGAAGCTTAAATTAATCCTTCAAAGAGGCATGTTTAACATCTGCTTAGTATTGTTTGTGAAAGGGAGCAGAGACAGTTTGGCAGCATGGAATATTTAGAATAGCTAAATGAATACAATTTTATACAACAGAGGCCGTCCAGAAGAGCACTTGTGGATAGAAGTAATCCATTGAACCTCTTTGATGAAATAACATTCAGAGGCCGCTGTCGTATGTATAAATAAAATGCATTGGAACTAATTACTTTGCTTGAGCCTAGACTTTTCTATCTGAATCAAAGAGGAAGGCCTGTACCCAGTTATCCCCAAGTTCTGATCACTTTGAGATTCTTGGCATCTGGAATCTTTCTTCGTGAAACTGGTGATTTGTGTGGTGTCAGTGAAGTAACTGTGTGTAGAATAGTTCACAGAATCTGCAGTGCCATTTGTGAACTGAGGAGCCTATACATCAAATTCCCTGATGCTGCTGAGCAAGCCAACTATAAAATGTGGTTCTATGAATATGGGCAATTCCCAGGAGTGATTGGCTGTATGGATGTCATGTTGCCATCAAGTGTCCGTCAATTCCTGAAGCTGAGGAGTACAGGAACCGGAAGAACTGGTTTTCCATCAATGTTCAGGGTGTATGCACACCCAGTTTGGAATTTTCAGACATTGTTGCTTGTTGGAAAGGTGCAACTCATGATTCAAGGATTTTTCTTAACTCCTCATTGTGTGCTCAGTTTGACCGAGGACAGCATGGTGGACTACTACTTGGTGACAGTGGATATGGTCAGAGTACATATTTATTCACATCATACCTACATCCCACAACAGCTGAGCAACAAAGATACAACAGAGCTCATGTTCTCACAAGAGGGATGATTGAGTGTATGTTTGGAGTATGGAAAAATCGATTCCACTGTTTACGGAATACACTTCGTTTTGAGCCAAGGAGATGCTGCAAAGGGATTGTTGCTACAGCTGTGCTGCACAACTACCTAAAGCAGCATGATTGTACAGATCCTCCGATGGAAGATCAAGATGATGCAGATGTGCCTGTGGCAGTGGCAAGGAATAACCAACGAGGACTTGCACACAGAACTGCTTTCACATTGCAGCACTTCAGTTAAATAAATATGTATTTAACGGTGGAGTATGTTGATTATGACTTATTTTGACTTTAATGGTGTTTGTTGTGTACAAAATGTAAAAGTATGCAGCAAAATTAAATGAGTAATTCAACCAAAGCGGATTTAAAATATAGTTTGTGGTGACAATATTAACAGTCTTACCAAATAAGATAAGTTTTATTCACACAATTTATTTTAATCACATTTTTTAGCATAGCTGTTTCATGCATCTTTCTTTGAACAGCTCTTTCTTCTAATTTCATGTCTAATTCAACCTGTAAAATTCTCATTTTCATGTCATGCTTTTCTTTCAGATATTTAATTTTCTGCTCATCAAGTTCTAGGGCTAGTTTTTCATGCATAGACATCCTTTTTGGTCTCTGCTGGAAGGTAGCAGCAGCATCTTCTCTCTGGCATGCCTCACCAGATGTGGAGGGTGCACAGGCACTGTGCGCTGGCTCTTCCATCAGGATAAGTGTAGGTTACCCTGTGTAAAGCACACTGTTAGAAACACAAACCAGTGTGGTCCTTAGACTGAAATACAAATACAGATAGACACAGGAGAATATTTGTACAGAAGGAGGTAACCTTTCTTTGGTAAATTTACCATTTGTGTTCTGTTCTTCATGTCCACTGTCCACATGGTCATCGTCTGGCTACCTTCCAGTGGCTGCTATTCCTCTATTATTCCAGACAACAAGTCACCCAATGCATCTGTTTTGTCTTTCCTTGGTGGTGGTCCACCACCAGTAGTAAATCGTTCTCTTCTAGCCTCTGCATCTTTTTTTTTTTTTTTTCAGATTTAGTTTTATGTTCTTCCATAGGGTCTATGAAGGCAGATATAATTGAATATAAACAATATATTAAACATAACACTGAATATAAACACAATAGTAATAATAATCCCTATTTATGAAGCAACTTTCAATCAAATATGTAGCTCAAAAAGTGCCCGTCAGCATTACAGTGAAAACCACTGCATATGCAATAAAAGAAGACAATGCAATATCAGAATCAGAATAAGCTTTATTATCATTGCACCGAGATACAATGAGAACATGTACATGCAGTCGTCCGGAAGATGGACGGAGTGCACGAAGCTGCTATTGCTCTAAGCGCAGCGCGGCCTCTCTTATCCTTATCAGAATAATAATCTTAGATAGAAAAAGGGGGAGAAATATGAGGGTAGATAGAAGTCATTATTCATAAAAATTTGTTTGAAGACCATATAAAACACTGCAAGGATTCTGTCTGCATGGCTAAATCAGCACATCCGTAATTCGGACTCTCTGCCCTCATTTAAATCTAACCTTAAAACTCACTTTTTCAAGCTTGCTTATTCTGTTTAATGTCATTATGCATTTTATCATTATTAGCATTTGATTTTATTGATATCTGTATTTTATTGTTTTATTGATTTTTTTATCTTGTATTTCTTGTTTGGTGACCTTGAGTGTTTTTGAAAGGCGCCTTCAAATAAAATGTATTATTATTATTATTCTGTCTCTCCTGCAAGCTAGGCAAGTAATGGCTGATAAATCTGGACCAGAAGTGATCAACGAGGACTTGGCTGTGCCTACATCGACGATTACCAAGGATGTTACAAGAGTCGTAAACGGCTTGAGGAAGTCATAGCGTCCCATAAGCAGAATGCTAGGTGTAATATGGTCTGGATCAGCTACATCTGAAGAGATGTAACTGAGAGGTTTAGTATTCAGGATTCCCTCCACCTCCACGAGAACTGTGTGGAGTACTGTTTCAGATACATTCTGCTCCTTTAGGACAACCTTGAGAGCAGTCTTCACGGATCGCACTTCTCTTTCCCATGCTCCACCAAAGTGGGGAGCACTAGGTGGATTAAAACAGAACTTGATCTGCTGCTCTGCCAGCTGTTCCCACAGGTGAGGAACCATGGTCTCAAAGGCCTCACATAACTCTCGGGCTCCACCGACAAAGTTTGTTCCGTTATCAGACAGGAGCTCGAAAGGTTTGCCTCGTCTGGCTATGAAACGTCATAGAGACATCAGAAAGGCGTCAGCATCGAGACGCTCCAGGAGATCTAAGTGTACACAGCAGGTTGTCATGCACTTATAAATGATGCCCCAATACTTCTCCATTCGACGTCCGATCTTCACTGTGAAGGGGCCGAAACAATCTACTCCGGTAGAATAAAAGGGTGGCTTGTAGAGGCATAGACGAGCAGGTGGCAAATCTGCTATCTTAGGGACAGAAGGATTGGCGTGCCATGCCTGGCACTGGACGCAGCAACTCTGGTACCTCTGACTGCTTTCCTCCCCCGTAAGATCCAAAATCAACGATGCAGCTCACCCAACACTCTTTCAGGTCCAGGATGCAGAAGAGTCATCAAAGTCCCGGATGATAAGGTTGGTTAGCGGATGCTTTGGGTCTAGTAAGATCAGGTGGATGGTGTCTAGGTTTAGCTGCTCTGCTCTCCGTAGCCTCCCCCAACTCTGAGGAGTCTTGTATCCTTGTTGCACTTGGGGGATGAGCTCAAACGACTGGAGATTGGTAGGGGATGATCCGAGATGAGAGCTTTGACCTCCTCTGGGAATGACTCTGACTGCACCTGTCTTAAGAGGAGATTTTCTGTTTTGATGAAGTCGGCTGCTTCCCTGGACAAGTCTGAACTCTGGTCGGCCGCTCCGTGAAGGGACTGTTTTGTTTTTGCTTGTATGAGGTCTTGCCATGTGGAGAACTGACTGATATCAGGGAATTGAGGACAAGTATCAACAGCTACGTGTCCACAGAAGGAAGATTTCTTCAGTTCACTATTGTCTGTCTCTGGATAGGATGACGGGCTGGTCAGTCAGCGATCCTCTGCATGGCATAGGAAATCAGGACCATGATGCCAATGATGTGGTTGAGACAGCTCTTTCAAGGTCTTGCCTCGTGTGATGCAATCAGCAGGGTTATTTGCACTATTAACATACCTCCAGTTGCTCACCTCTGTAAGACTCTGGATCTCTGCTACACATGTACCCACAAAGACCTTATAGTGACAAGATTCTGACTTTATCAATGTAGAACCGTAGTGGAGTCAGACCAGAGAATGGTCTTCCTGATGGGTAAGGTGAGCTTGTTGTGAAGGATGTTAGCTAGTTGAGCTCCAGTGAGTGCAACACTCAGCTCTAACCGTGGCATGGACAGCTGTTTCTTTGGTGCCACATGGGATCTGGCCTGGACAAAGGAGACATGAACTTTCTTTTGGGCATCTTCTGTCCGTATGCATGCAACGGACCAATAAGCCCTCTCAGAGGCGTTGCAGAATATGTGTAGATCTCTGTGGGATGTCAGTGAGTCTGTAGATGCTGGTGCATAACATCTGGGAATCTCCAGATTGACAAGGTCTGGAATCTCTCTTTCCCAGGTGAGCCACTTGTCACAGAGGCTCAGCCATAGTTCGCTGTTCTCGGATCTGACCTCGGATGGAAGATGTTTGATGACTGTTGGGACATTGCTAGCCCACTGGTGTATCTCAAAGCCTCCGGTGTGGAGCAACCATTATAGACCATCGACCAGATCTTTTGCTTCCTTCTTTGAGTGGGTACTGCGGAGACAGTTATCCACGTAGAACGACTGCTCGACACAATCAATGAGATGGCTGTTTGACTCACCCAAGTCCTGGACATGCTGCTGCAGGGCGTAAATGACACAGCAAGGGCTACACGTGGTTCCGAATGGAAAGACTTGCCATTCGTAGACCTTTGGCTCATCAGTCCAGTTCATCACCGCCAGAGGAAGAGTAGGACGGGCTTGTCTGATAGCAGAAGGCATATCTGGTGGAACATGCCTTTAATGTCACCACTCACTGCAACTGGGTACTGTCGAAACCTTATGAGGACTCCTAACAGTGATGAGCCTAGTGCAGGTCCAGGGAGAAGAATGTCATTGAGAGACTTTCTTTTGTACTGAAAGGAGCAGTTAAAGACAATCCTGTCTTTGTTCTTATGTCGCAACATATTATGAGGTATGAACCATGATTTTGGGGTTGATGTCACTGTCTCAGGTGGCACTATTGCTACGTAACCCATTTCCTCCAGTTTCTGGGTCTCTTGGCAGTAGACCTCTGCATGTTGTGAGTCTTTGGCAAGTCTTCTTTCTGTGCTATGAAGACTTGGCAACGATCTGGTCACTTGCCTCTCACTTGTATAAGGCTAAGTATCGATTTGCCATAGCTGCTCAACATTCTTGAAGAGTTCAGACGTAGGTGACACTGTCATTGTGAACAGGCACTGTTGCTTGAGTGTGGGGACTTGATTGATACTAGTGGGGCCTTGAAGTGACCAGCCGAGCTTGGTGTGAACTGTGATGGGTCCCCCTTAGGGACCTAAGTGGACTGGTTCTATAGGTATCAGGAGGTGAGGCATGTCGGAACCAGTGAGCAGCAAAGGTTGAGCCTGGTCGACAGGAGGCAAAGGTAGGTCATGAAGGTGCTTGTATATGTTTGAGAGTTCTCACTGGATAAGTTAATGTTCAGAGAGTCCTAGGTAGTCAGCAGTGAATGCCTGACAAATATAGTGCTTCTCTTCAGGTTTGGGCAGTGAGGACACGTAGAAAGAGACCGATGCACCTTGGAGCTGTACTATGTTTTGGTGAACAGTTTGCAGGGTAAGTGATTCAGGCTGCATCATGAGCTTTAACTGTTGCACAGCATGTGGCAAGATGATGCTTCGCTCTGAGCCCTCATCTAGTACTGCATAGGTCTCCAGTACTTTGTCGTGATTATGAAGCAGGACTTTCACAACCTTCAACATCACCTTAGGTGATCTATTTGGTTTATCCAGGTACACCTTTGCAGCGGGTGCGGTGACCATAAGGACTCTTTTCTGAGTTTGCTGGGCTGCATCGTGTAGTATTGTTAGATGTTGCTCTTTACAGGTATTGCATGGTCACTTAAGAGTGCAAACTTCAGGCTTGTGGGATTGTCCACACTGCCAACACCGCTGTCCATCTATTATCCACTTTGCAATCTAACTTGTGTTCAGTCTCTTGAACTCTGTGCAGACATTCAAGAAGTGTTCTCTGTTGTCGCAGTGGGGACAATAAGATTTGGGTTTGGATGAAGTCTTGGGTGGAGCAAACCTTTCATTGGATCCTGGGTCACCACTGGCAGTAAGGAAGAATGTTGTGGACTTCTCCTTTAATTTGTTGAAGGGACGTTGCTCCTTCTTTATTGGCTTAGGTGCTTCATAATTATAGAGGGAAGCTACTCGACCTGCTATACGCTTGGCTTGAAACTTCAGCCAGGGGCTTAGGTCAGATAGGGTGTAGGTTTGGTCAGTACCCATCTGAAGAATGCCTTGACTTAGGCAATGCTCCACAAATCCATCACGGTAACTTGGTGGCATCTTGCTTAGTAGCTGATCAACATGTGATCCACATCGTAGTTCATAACCATTCTGTCCTTCTAGGATTTTGAGCATTCCAACCAGTGATTGAATGGATAAGACAAATGCATGAAAGGCTTCAGAGTCACCAAATTTGAGAGCTGGAGTGTTGGGATGACACTCAGTCCACTTTGGACAAGCTGACGAGGCTGGCCGTACTTATCCTGTAAAGCTTGTTTAGCTGTTGTATATGGCCTTGGATCATGCATGTAAGTTTTTGCTAACTGCAGGGAACTCTGTAGCTTCAGATGTCCAAGGAGTACTTGATATTTGTACTGCTTGTTCAGGTGTGGATGACAGTTCAGCAGTTGTCTAGTGCCATCTTCAGTAAAGCAAAGTCACTCTCTAGTGAACGGTATGTTCACTAGCGTCAGAAAAACCACGATGCATTCAATAACATTGGAATTGTGAAATTCAAAAAGAAAACACGCTAGTCATACAGAAGTTATCTTAGCAAACAAACTAACTAGATATAAACAATGTGGGCTTTCTAACACTTAGAGATTCACACCCCTAATAAAAAACACAAAGAATGGATCTGTGTCTGAATTGAGTAAACAGATTGATGAATCATTTGGTTACAGTTTTCTGCTCTGAAATAATTTTTGACCAGAAATGTATGACATGTTTATACTTGTTGCTTTGAATGTGAGTCAAAACTTCAGCCAGAATCAAATGTTTATCTTTTATGTCTTAACATTTGTGAACGTTTTTATTTATAACCTAATGCTGCTTTATATAAATTGTTTGTGTTTCTGCTTCCTGCAGAAGTTCAGTAGCTGTTGGTAATTAATTAAAATGAGGAAAAAAATGAAAAATGTAGTTGGACTTTATGTTATTATGTTACAACATAAAAATATTGTTCAGACATTTTTTGTCTTCATCTCCTGCAGAAGTTAAAGAGGAGTATTATCTGGAGCAGCAGAACTGGAGCCCAAGTCTGGACCAGGAGGACGAAAAGCCCCCACAGATTAAGGAGGAACAGGAGGAGGCTGAAGTCACCTCTATCAATGTGAAGTTTGAAGATGATGATGAGAAGCCTCAGTTCTCAGAGCTTTGTACCAGCAAGAATGAGAACAGAGACCACAAAGAACAAGAACCAGATCAGCATTTAGAGTCAGATTCCAAAGACAAAGTATTAGAGTCTTCAGAGGTAAATATAAGTTACAAAAACTGGGAGAACGGTGAACAGCTTCCAGTTTTAAACTTTGAGAAAAATAATACAGTTCCCGAAGACAATACAAAATGTCAGAGAGGTGAGGAGCTTTACAGCTGCACTGAATGTGGTAAAACATTCTACCAGAGGTCAGATTTGTTGAAACATGGACAAATCCACAAAAGAGGTAAACCTTTCAGCTGCTCTCAGTGTAAAGCAACTTTTACATGTAAACATACTGTAGTACAACACATGAGAATCCACACGGGAGAGAAACCTTTTAGCTGTTCTGTCTGTGAAGCAGCCTTTACAAGGAAACATGTCTTAAAGCAACACATGATGAGGCACAGTGGAGAGAAACCTTTCAGTTGTTCTGTCTGTGAAACAGCCTTTGCAAGAAAAAGTGACTTAAAGCAACACCTGATGAGGCACAGTGGAGAGAAACCTTTCAGCTGTTCTGACTGTGAAGCAGCCTTTGCAAGGAAAAGAGACTTAAAGCAACACATGATAAAGCACAGTGGAGAGAAACCTTTCAGCTGTTCTGTCTGTGAAGCAGCCTTTGCAAGCAAAAGTGACTTAAAGCAACACATGATGAGGCACAGTGGAGAGAAACCTTTCAGCTGTTCTGTCTGTAAAGCAGCCTTTACAAGGAGACATGGCTTAAAGCAACACATGATGAGGCACAGTGGAGAGAAACCATTCAGCTGTTCTGTATGCGAAGCAGCCTTTGCGAGGAAAAGTGATTTAAAGCAACACATGATAAAGCACAGTGGAGAGAAACCTTTCAGCTGTTCTGCCTGTGAAGCTGCCTTTGCAAGGAAAAGAGACTTAAAGCAACACATGATGAGGCACAGTGGAGAAAAACCTTTCAACTGTTCTGACTGTGAAGCATCCTTTGCTATCAAAAGTGACTTAAGGCAACACGTGATAAGGCACAGTGGAGAAAAACCTTTCAGCTGTTCTGTCTGTGAAACAGCCTTTGCAAGGAAAAAAGACTTAAAGCAACACATGATAAGGCACAGTGGAGAAAAACCTTTCAGCTGTTCTGTCTGTGAAGCAACCTTTCCAAGCAAAAGTGACCTAAAGCAACACATGATAAGGCACAGCGAAGAGAAACCTTTCAGCTGTTCTGTCTGTGAAGCAGCCTTTGCAAGGAAAATTTACTTAAAGCAACACATGATAAAGCACAGTGGAGAGAAATCTTTCAGCTGTTCTGTCTGTGAAGCAGCTTTTGCTATCAAAAGTGACTTAAAGCAACACATGATAAGGCACAGTGGAGAGAAATCTTTCAGCTGTTCTGTCTGTGAAGCAGCTTTTGCTATCAAAAGTGACTTAAAGCAACACATGTTAAGCCACAGTGAAGAAAAACCTTTCAGCTGTTCTGTCTGTGAAGCAGCCTTTACTATCACAAGTGACTTAAAGCAACACATGATAAGACACAGTGGAGAAAAACCTTTCAGCTGTTCGGTCTGTGAAGCAGTCTTTGCCAGGAAATTTAACTTAAAGCAACACATGATAAGGCACAGTGGAGAAAAACCTTTCAGCTGTTCGGTCTGTGTAGCAGCCTTTGTAAGGAAAAGTGACTTAAAGCAACACATGATAAGGCACAGTGGAGAGAAATCTTTCAGTTGTTCTGTTTGTGAAGCAGCCTTTGCAAGGAAAAGTGACTTGAAGAAACACATAAAAAGGCACAGTGGAGAGAAACCTTTCAGTTGTTCTTTTTGTGGTCAGAAGTTTAGCAGTAAGCAAAGTATAAATTGTCATATGAGAATTCACTCAGGGGGAAACCTTACAAAACCTGGTCTGATGCGACAAATCCATCCTACCTTAAATGGAGCTCCACTTCTCTCTAAAAACAGCTGATTCCTTTCGACATCCAAATTATTGACAATTAACGGTCCAGTCTAGAAATCAGTCCAGGAAGCAGATATGTTGTCTTCCTCACTTCTCTGCTGCTTCTCCATTACTCACCCCGAACACGACTGAAACAGTGCCAACTCGCCCAGGGCTCAAATTAAAGAAACAAAAAAATCAGCTCTAAAAATTTTAAACATCAAAATCTTATTTAAATACACACAACTATTTTACCAGAACAAAATAATAAAATAATTAAATGTGGACTATTGAACATCAGATCTTCTTCCTGTAAATCCCTGTTAGTTAATGACCTGATAATGATCATCATACTACATACATACATAGTTTAATGAAAAATCCTATTTCTGTTGGATTCATGTATTCCTACAACTATAAGCAGTGATGACTTCATGAGATTCTTTATAAATAAAATTGTTTCAATTAGAGAAAAAATTCAAACCAACATTCCTAGTATCACCTCTGGTTCTGTGTCAGATGAGACAACTTTAAAAATGTCACTAGAACCTGATTTGTGTTTGGACTGTTTTTGTCCTGTTGAGCTCTCTGAATTGTCAAAAAAATAACAGCTTCATCCAAACCATCCACATTTCTGCTAGATCCCATCCCATCCAGGCTATTTAAAGACCCATTTCCCTTGATTAATAACCATGTCTTGGATCTGCTTAATTTTCTCTAATAAATGGTTACGTACCACAGAGCTTTAAAATTGCTGTAGTTAAGCCTTTACTTAAGAAACATAACATTGACTCAGGAAACCTACCCAATTATAGACTTATATCTAATCTAACTTTCATCTAAAAAATTCTAGAGAAAATTATTGCTGGTCAGTTACATGATCATCTGCAAAATAAATAGTCTGTTTGAAGAGTTTTAGTCAGGGTTTAGAGCTCACCACAGCACTGAATCTGCACAGGTGAAAGTTACTTATCTAAAAAAGTGAAATCAGGTCCTCTGGACGTTCAAAAAAAATTGTAGAAACATTTCGACTGTGCCTGCAGTCAACCTACTTCACATATGGGGGCCAATATTATAGGTAGAAACATAGGTGTACTATGGGGTCTCCAGTTTCTCTTATTGTTGCCAACCTGTACATGGAGGAAGTTGAAAAGAGAGCCTTGACATCCTTTTCAGGGACACCACCAAGTCATTGGTTCAGGTATGTTGATGACACCTGGGTTAAAATTAAATCTCAGGAAGGCCAGCATTTCACTGATCACATCAACTCTGTGGATAAATACATCAAGTTCACAGGAGAAGATGTAAAAAATGTCAGGTTGGCTTTCTTGGACTGTGAGGTCTCAGTTTCTGATGGAGGACATTTGCAAACTAAGGTGTACCGCAAACCCACCCACACAGACCAGTATTTGCAATTTGACTCCCATCACCCTCTGGAGCACAAGTTAGGAGTCATCAGGACTCTGTACCACAGAGCAGACAGTGTCCCCACTAACTCAGGAGCCAGGCAGAAGGAGAAATCCCACACAATACAGGCTCTAGATCAATGTGGATATCCTAACTGGGCCTTCCTGAAAGCAGAGAAGAAACCCAAACAGGACTCCAGTCAGCCAACAGATGAAAAGGAGGAACCCAGACCCGTGGCCTTTCTGTATTTTGCGGGAGTATCAGAGAAACTGAGAGGTTTATTTTCTAAACACAACGTCCCAGTGGCTTTTAAACCCCAAAATGCATTACGGCAAAGACTGGTTCATCCCAAAGATCCAGTCCCCCTGAACAGAGTAATGTTGTGTATGCTGTTCAGTGTCAGGAGGGTGATCAGTCTTACATCGGGGAAACTAAACAGCCACTGGCCAAAAGGATGGCCCAGCACAGAAGATCAACATCATCAGGCCAGGACTCTGCGGTCTACACTCATCTCCAGGCCAGTGATCACTCGTTCAGGGATGAAGATGTTCACATCCTTGATAGAGAGGAACGATGGTTTGAGAGAGGAGTAAAGGAGGCCATCTTTGTGAAAAGAAACCATCCATCATTAAACGGGTGGAGGCCTCCGTGTTCAACTGTCCCCCTCCTACAATGCTGTGATTGCTAGTATCACTCAGCCCCCTGTGAATAGCAAACAGCCATCAGAGTGCTAACCATCCATCATTAGGCTGATAGTCCTCCTTGATCATGTGAATTACTAATAGCATAAAAACATTACGTCTAACAACAGTACAAACATGAGTCTGTGTGAGCAGATTAACATGCATGAACACAGCAACATAAAATAGATCAGCAGCAACATGATGGGATTTTTCACAGTGATTATTCTGGTTAGAGATTCATGAGTCTAACAGCCTCAGGGTAGAAGCTGTTCCTCAGTATAGTGGTTCTACACTTAATGCTCCTTAACCTCCTTCCTGAGGGGAGTGGGGCAAAAAGTGTTTGTGCTGGGTGAGTGGGATCCTTCATGATGCAGGTGGCTCTCATCCTGCATCTAGAGGTGTAACTGTCTGTGACGTTGGGGAGGCTGACTCCAACAGACTTAACAGACTTAATATAAAACCTGGATGACCATACATTTTCTGATTTTGAACACAGACAGACTGAGATTGTAGTTTTTGTACCTGAGCATCTTAGGAATATTTTTTCAGTCTTGCCCTCCTTGGATGGCATTAATCTGGCCTCCAGCTCTAATGTTAAAAATCTTATGTTATTTTTGATCAGGACATGTCTTTTAACCCCCACATTGAAAATTTTAATAGAACCACCTTCTTCCACCTGTGTAATATCGCTAAAATTAGAAACATCTTATCTAAAAATGATGCTGAAAAACTAGTTCATGCATTTGTCACGTCTAGACTGGACTATTGCAATGATTTATCTGGGTGTCCAAATACTTCATTAAAAAGTTTTCTGTTAATCCAAAATGATGCTGCCAGAGTCTTAACTGGAGTTAGTAGGAGATATCATATCTCCAATTTTAGCTTCTCCATTGGCTCCCTGTCAAATTCTGAATATAATTCAAGATCTTACTTCTAACCTACTAAGCCCTCAACAACCTAGCTCCATCTTATATTCGAGATCTTATTGTTCCATATTTTCCTAACGGAGCACTTCACTCTCAGACTGCAGGCTTACTCACGGTTCCTAGAGTTTCCAAAAGCAGAATAGGAGGAAGATCTTTAGTTATCAGGCTCCTCTCTTGTGGAACAACTTCCAGATTCTGTCCGTGAGGCTGACATATTGTCCAGTTTTAAGACTGGATTTAAGACTTTATTTTTTTAATTAGGGTTGGTTTGTTATGTTGTGTTAAGCTTAGACTACTAGAGGACAAGTTGACCTGATTTCCTTAAATGATTTGCTAAAATTGAATACTTTTCATTTGATACTATTTCTATCGTAACATGTGATTCTTGACCTGCCATTGTGTAGCTGTTCCTACCAAACCCAGCCAGTCGAAGCAGATGGACGCTTGTCCTGAGCCTGGTTCTGCTAAAGGCTTCTTCCTCATGAGGGAGTTTTTTCTTTCTATGTCGCCTTCATGCTCAAGAAGTGAGTTCTGCGATGAAATTAAACTCAAAGCAGTCTGCTACTCAGATAAATAGTGTTAAATTATTATTTTTATATATGAATGTTTCTGTTCAGTGCCCTGAGACGACTTCTGCTGTGACTTGGCGCTATATAAATAAACTGAATTTAATTTAATTTTACTTGTAACAAAGATTTTCTTTGGAAATGCTGTTTAGAACCACGCTTAAGAAGCCATGCAGGAAATCGACCCTATAGCTGCTCTGTTTTTAAGTCAACTTTTAGAAGGAAACAAGATTTAGTGAAACAAAAATTCATACATATAAATAACATTTTCACTGCAGTCAGTCATCATAGCAGTACTGTTAGATAGTTTATTTCCTGTTGTAAAACTATTTTAATAATTCTTAAAAGAAATCACAAATAGAATGCATTTTTATCAAAATGACTTTTGTTGTTCCTGGGTGTCCTGTGCTATCTCAAGATTTTGTGAAGTACCACTTGAGCATTGTGCATTAGAAATTCGTGTTTTCATAACTTGTGAATTTTCATAATAAATGAATATACCTTTAAAACTTTTTGTTGCTTCTTTATGTCACATCTGAGCAACTTTTGCAGCTAAATTTAAATTAAAACTTGGATTTGTTCCAACGGTAAATAATGATGCAGTAAAACATACTTCCTAAATTCAGTTGGTCATCTTAGTCATGACTCAAATAATACATTTTTCATGGCTACAGCCTGTAGACGGTGTGGATGGCAAACATTTTTCAGCATTTGTAAAGACAAAAAGAGCCAAAACAGTTGATGTGTGAAGTTAAGCTGGCGTGCCATGACACAGTCAAAGTTTCTTTATTTGTCATTCACACCACGTGGTACGTGTAGTGGTACAAAAGTGTGTGCACAGGGTCCCAGTTACTGTTGTTATCACTCTTTGTTTAAAAAAATCAGGTCTCTCTGTAAATGAGTTCCCAAGGCTCAATGGGATTAACCTGTATAAATAAAGGTTGAATGAATCAAAATACGTCCAACAAAAAGTGATGAAAATAAATGATGCTCTGCCAAAATTTGTTTGCGCGCAAAACAGCCTCACTGTTTCTGCTGCTTCAGTTCTTGAATTAATCAAAGATTGTAGCAAATGTGTGTTTTCATTTACCTTTTTTTCTTTTTATCTATGTCTCAGTGATAGTCAGATAGATAAAGACAGTCCAAAAAGAAGATAGGGAAACTAATTATTAATGGTAGCGTCACTGAAGACCCTGATTTAATAAATGTATCAATTAGAACATTTTAAAGTAATCTATATTGTTCTAAGTATTCTGACTCCAACTGCCAGTCCTTTTTTTGATGAAATTCAGGAATCTATTAAAAAAATTAACCCTGATTTTAAAAACTTTATGGATGATGACTTAAGAATTGAAGAACTTGATATAGCAATACATCAAATGGCGATTGATAAATCTCCAGGCCTAGATGGGCTAACTGTGGAATTTTATAGTTTCTTTTGGAAAGATTTACAAAAACTTTTATATGTAACTCAGACAATAATCTCTCTCCCACCATGAGACGTGGACTCATTACTTTGATCCCCAAAGCCAACAAGGATCTCTTATCATTAGACAAATGGAGACCTATTACTCTTTTATGTACAGATTACAAACTCTTAGCTCTTGTTTATGCCAATCGCTTAAACTGTGGATTAGGGACGATTATTAACGAATGCCAGTCGGCTTTCTTAGAGGGGAAAAGTATCCCTCATCATACTAGACTGATTCTTGACATGATTGACTATCGCAGTTTTATTAACAGTGACAGTTTGATTTTATTTCTTGATTTCTACAAGGACTTTGACTCTTTAGAACACTGCTTTATTATGAAAACCTTAAATTATTTTGGCTTTGGTGAGAAGTTTTGTAATATAATCAGATTATTTTATTCTGACATAAGTAGCTCAGTCTCTCTGAGCACGAGTTTGACCCCTGGTTTTTCTATGTCAAGACGTATCAGACTAGGCTGTCCAATCTCACCAAAATTATTTATATTAACAACTCAAATGCTTACTTTATTAATTACCCAGAATTCCAATTTGCATGGCATTAGCATTTTTGACAAAGAATTTAAGATAGATCAATTTGCTGATGATGCAACAATTATTTTTAAAGAGAGAAAACTATGGTAGACATAGCACTAAAATCTATTTTAACCTTTTCCGAAGTATCTGGTCTGTCGCTCATCATTGATAAATGTGAACTTCTGCCGATCCATTCTAGCTCTGAGGCATCTGTTGCCTCCATTCAAGTTAAGTCTGAAGTTAAATAACTGGGAATATTGATCTAAAAAAATTGTATTAGAAGAGAGGAGGAAAACATTGAAAGATGCTTGGATGGCATGAAGAGGTCCTTGCCTTGAACCATTGGTTGACTAGAGATCTTGCAATTTTTGGGCGAACTCTTTTATCCAAGGCTGAAGGAATGTCCAAATTGATTTATCCATGTCATTCTGTTTTTTCCCCTGACAGAAACATAAAGAAAGCTTATTCAATAATCTTTCAATTTATATGGAGGAACAAAACTCACTATCTAAGACGATCTCAACTTATTAAAGATTACGATAAGGGTGGTATTAAAGCTTTAGATTTTGAGGCCTTAATTGGCTCATTCAGAATAAATTGGCTGAAGAATTATTTGTCATCTCCCAACTCTATGTGATTTCATATCCCTAGAGCCATATTTAATAAGCTTGGTGGCGTGGACTTTTGGCTTAAATGTGATTTTGAATTAACCAAGATTCCTATCTTACTGTCTTAAATTGCAAAGTTTTGCATTTCTGGAAAATGATATTCACCCACAATTTTACCCCACATGGATCCTTACTGTGGAATAAAAGATCAATATTGGTTAATAGAAAATCTATTTTTAAAACTGACTGGTATGAGAAAGACATTTAATTTGTCACTGGTTTAATGGACAACAATGATGTTTTATTAAATCACAGAGATTTTACCAATAAATTTAATCTGAACTGTACTTGTTATGAATATCTAAAAATATGCAGTTATTCCTGTAGCTCTCATTCATTTAATCCAGAACACTTTAAGATATTCTAATGTTACTTCAACGCTACCCACACTGAAAATTGGAGACTGTAGTTTAACTGATAAGAAATGAAATAATGTTGTACTTGTGATGGCCTTAAAATCTAAACTGGACCTGTTTTTGGGAGCAGATGGTGGGGGTTGGCAGCTTTGCTCAGGGACCCAGGGTGGGGCAGATAAGGGTGGAGGCAGGTGTGGGTGTTTCACCTTTTCCGCCCACATTTTGATGTTAATGGTACCGTGAGTTGAACTTGCAACTTTTCGATCACAGGCCCATCTTCTAACCTCTGCACCACCACTCCCCCAATAATCTCCCCCAATAATCTCCCCCAATAAAAATATTAATGGTTCAAGAATAATATTTTTGGTACATGTTAATATGTCACTCAGTTCTGAAAGTTATTATTATTATTATTATTATTGTTGTTGTTGTTGTTGTTGTTGTTGTTGTTGTTGTTGTTATATTGTAGTATTTTATTCACATTTCATCAAAATCAGATGAAAAATAAGAAGTGCACTAAAATTCACGGTCATTGATAAATCGCTATGGTTAGACTTTTATTTTGAAAATATACCCCGGAAACATCGTTCCGTCATCATTGTCCGTCCTGAAGCTGCTCTACGGTGAGCTGAACTTGTTTGGAGTAAATTTAATTGGTTTTTAACATATTTTAAGGATGTTTCCTTGTCCTAAACGACTGGGAGTGGATCTGGAGCGTTCAGGTTTGTTTCCATGTTTTATTTTTGTTTGTTTATCTCGACGTCAGTGTGAAATATCTGTGCTAAGCTAACGTTAGCTAAGGCTGTTTGGTTTAATTAATTTTAAGATGACTGAAAGAGATGTTTTTTTAGGTTGTCGGATGAATATTTTATTTGTATAGCATGGGTCAACTGATAAATACCATTTTAATTATGTAAATGTTTAAGAAATAGATTTAGGTTAGCATTTCGTGTTAAAACCAGTTGGTTAAAAGAAAAATAAAACATTTGATTTGGTTTCAAAATTCATGCTCAGTCGTGCAGGTACAAAATCCAATCAGGGTCAGTCAGGTCATCTGGACAGTTTATTTTTTGTGGAAAGACGTTTCTCCCTCTATCCCGAGGGCTTCATCAGTCTGAGGAGTCCCAAATAAACCTCCCCACTAAGCAGTTAACTCCTTTAGTGGACCAACCAGTTTGTTGGAGATAAGATGGTTTCTGGGGGCTGTCCTGTTCCCCGTCGACTCCCCACAGGCAAGCAGCCACAGCCAAAGTGGTTCAAGACATCAAATCCTCAAACTGGTGAAGCCCTCCTTATAGAGGGTGAAACGTTGTTCCACAAAAAAGAAACAGTTCAGATGACCTGACTGACCATTATTGGATTTTGTACCTGGATGATTGAGCATGAACTTTGATTTCTTGAACCACTTTGGCTGTGGCTGCCTGCCTGGGAGGAGTCGACGGGGGACAGGACAATTGACCTCTTTATGTCACTTGTTTTCTTGTTTTCCAGCCGGCCAGCAGCTGTTGGAGGATAAAGCTTTGAGTGATCGGCTGGTCAGAAGCTCCACTTTGGACCTGAAGGACCAACGTGTTAAAGATGACCAAAGGAAACAGTTTTCTCTTCAGAGACAAACGGAAGCTGATGTCAGTGACTGCAGATATGACAACAACTCAAACATTTTTGAACCTGTAAGTGAAGACATTGAGAAGGATGTGAAATATTTCCACACTTCAGGTGGTAAAACATGCGGTGAATCATCACAGCAATCTGAGAAACCAGCGAGTGGTTGTAATGAGACAAAAACAGAACCTCCAAATAATGAAAATGCTGTCAGGGATATTTGTAACCACACAATGCTGCAGCTGTCAAGTTTAAACAGTCAAATAAAAGAAGAAGTCAAAGATTCAGGAAGTTATGATGACCAGAACCTGAGCTGCTTTTTCTGCAGGTCAGCATTTTCATCAGGAGGACTTCTGACAAGACACATATCGGGCCATACAGGAGAGAAGCTGCTCACATGTGTTATTTGTAAGAAAACGTTCACCTTGGAGTCAGAACTTGTTATTCACATGTGTGCTGGAGAGTCTTCTCAGCATCATCAAAGCCGATGTGAGGAACATATTCCTGCCTCCAAACAGTTGAGCTGCTCTCAGTGTGGGGAAAATGTTTCAAGATCTGAAGACTTAGATCTTCATCTCAAACTCCATACAAGAGAAAACTTGTTCAGTTGTTCAGTGTGTAAGGCCTGTTGCAGTGACAAAGACTCGTTAATTCAGCACATGAGGATCCACACAAGACAAACACAGTTTACCTGCCATGTTTGTAAGAAGGACTTTACGTGGAGAAGGCAGCTGACAAAACACATGGAAGTTCATAAGAAAAGAAAAAAAGTATTTCGCTGCAGAGCTTGTGGTGCTGAATTTTGCACTTATTATTTGTTGTCTAAACACAAGGTTGTTCATCAGTCATCAGAGATTCCTCACAACCAGACTGAGGAGAACAGGGAGGAAAATGAAGCAATGGAAACAGCAGCTGGTGGAGAAGAATTTGGAAGACCTGAACCAACCAAGAACCTAAACACGAACACACAAATACAACGGGAGACCAAAGCAGAGGCTTTACTCTCCTTACAAACTGAAGGGGATGAATTTAGGAAACAAACCAGAGAAGCTGAGTCAGATTTAACATCTGTGAGACATGAAGATTTTCAGAGTGACACGAAGACAGACTCACAGCTTTTTACTTTAAAAGAGGATCTGAGTCGACACACAGCGTTTGATACAGAGATACAGGAGGTGAAGCAGGAAGATCCAGAGTCTCCACAGATAAAAGAGGAGGAGGAAGAAGCTGAGATCACCAAGTTCACCTTCCGTCATGTCCCTCTGAAGACTGAAGAGAAACCTCGATCACTGCAGCTTCACAGTTCAAGTGAGGAGAAAGACTTTTTTGGAGAACCAGATGAAAACAAGAAGTCTTCTGCATTTTCTGACCCCGACACCGATGACAGTGACTTCTGGAAACAAAACGATAAACTTCAGTCAAGTTCAAACTCTGAAAGTGATTCTGGCAGAAACCCTTCCAGCTGTTCTGATAACAAGGCGACAGAGTCCCTGCAGCCTGAAAGTGATGCTAGTGTTGACAGTGACTTTTTTAAAGACTACAAGAAACCAGAGTCAGACTTGAACTTATTCCAACAAGAAGCTACAGAAAAAGGTGCAAAATATATCACAGACTTGAAACCTTACAGTTGTACTCAGTGTGGTAAAGCATTCCGCTACAGCTTCTATTTGAAAATTCACATGAAACAGCACTTCGACCGGTACTTTTGTTCTGTTTGTGGTCACAAATCGACCTCCAGTTCAAATCTGAAGGTCCACATGAGAACACACACAGGAGAGAAACCTTTCAGCTGCTCAATTTGTAGTAAAAAGTACACAAACAAGGCGAGCATGTTGTCTCACATGTCTGTTCATGACGCAGAAAGGAAATACAGTTGTGATGAGTGTAAGAAAAGCTTTGCCTGGTATACAGAACTGAAGTACCACCAGTGTGTGGGCGAGTCCTCACACGAACAAGCGTATGTGGAAAATTTAAATATAAATTTGAAAAGACACACTTTACACAGCTGAAATGTTTTAGCTGCAGAAGTTTAGGTATATAAATTTTCTCTGATTTTTCATGTATGAAGATGTAAAGAAACATGTTTCTAGCAGTCAGATGGTTACATATGAGTGCGCAGCAAAACACCAGAGCCGTCATATTGTGAAGTTTACAGAGATACAGATGTGGTTGAATGCATCATCAACAATGAGTCCATCTGCAGGCAGGAGGTGGAACACCTGGAGCACTGATGCAACGTGAAAAAGTTGAAGCAGATGATGATGATAGATTTCATACGAGGTAGACATCAACCCCCGCAGTTTGGAGGGTCAGCAGTGGAAGTAGTTTGCAGATGGAAGGCTCACCAGCGCATTTACTTCCTCTGACAGCTGAGGTCTGCAGGGCTGAGGAGCCCAGTCCTCCCTCCCTACAGATGTGCGGAGAGCATCCTGTGCTCCAGCATCACTGTGTGGCGCAGCAGAGAAGTCTCTGCATGTTGTGATGAAGGACACTCAGAAGGAGCCACATTTCCCCCCCACCGTGCATATTTACACCTCCAATTAAAGACAAAGGGCCACTTTCATCATGAGAAACTCCACTCACCCTGCACGCACCAGTTTACCCTCTTCCCCTCAGGCAGGAAGCTGTGGAGCATCAGGAGCTGATCAGGAACAGCTTCTACCCTGAACCTGTTGAACTCTGGTAGGGCTCTCTAACCTGCTACGTCACAACACCATATTGTTGATAGCTGCTGCAAATACAATCTTTATTTTAAATTATTCTAATAATTATTATTGCTCTTTGTTTTATAATGATTGCGCCTAACCAGATCCTGGGCAACTAGTTTTAGTCCACCTTGTGTACCACATGGGATGCGAATGACAATAAATGGATGACAATAAAGTGTCCTTGATTTTTAATCGTAGTGCTTCCACTGCTGATTAAAAAAAAATAAACCATGACATTTGTCTATTCTACAGTTTTCACATTTTTATTGCCGTTGGGGGAAACAAGTATTTTAACCAGTTTTTTGTTTTTTTCATGTAAATGTGCACTTTAAATCTGTTGACAGGAGTCGTTTGAATCTGTCTGATTTTCCTTCATCTGTGTCACATTTTATAACTTTGTGCTTGAAGCGTTTTCGATGCATGTCTCCAGTAATTGCTCTTAACTAAATAATATCAAATACACTATTACACTCTCTGTTAAGTGGATTAAGACATTATTTTTTAAGTCCACACTTTTTTTTCCCTTCATGTTAAGATGTATTTCACAGTTTTGAATTCTTGATAACAGATGTTTAACATTCAGCTTTTTCTGTACCGGGTGAAATTGTAGCAATAAAACAGTAAAATAATTTAACTTTACAAGTACCGGTACTGAACTGAAAACACTGATTTACAGTCAAATAAAAGCCCAGACACTCCAACACTGAACAGTTTCATCTAGTGGGCATTGACTGTCTCTGGTCTGAATGAATAAAAACTGGACCAATAATAAATTAAGGTTATTAAGACTAGTAGCAGTTAATCATTTGAATGAGTGTTACTGAGGGGGACTGAATTAATCAAACAACAATCCATTTTAATCCGAGGATCTACAGATGAGACGAGAAATCCAGACAAATGTTTTGTTAAAAAAATCCCGTGATCATCTTTTTCAGAGCTTCTGGTCCTGCATTTGGCTGCAGATATACGCTCGTCTTGGCCAGAACATAGAAAGATACACAGGAGGAAGTAATGAGTCACCAGAAACAGACTGTTAACGTTTATTCCATTACTCTGTTAGAGTGTGGTCACACTTACTGGTCTTATTATCTAACCGCCTTTATTTCAGCCCCAACGATCATGTCACATGTACAAAAATAAATCAAAATAAAACAACTACGTAATAATAGTCATCACCTGGAAAAAGGAACTGGCTGTGAATGTTTTTGTGATGTGATGTTATGCATCATTTCTTACTCCCCCATTGCATGAACAGAAAATTTTAATGCGTGAAAATTTGATTTTTAAGCTTTATTTTAGGCGTAAAGAGAAGTTTTGAACAAACGCCTGGATTTGGGCTACATTTAACCTCTTTAGGCCAAGTTGTGGTTTAGTGACGCAGCAGCGCCCCCTTGAGTGACATTTTATGACGGTCATAATTTAATGTAACACCGGAAGAACCTCGTCGCAAAACCGGAAGCTGCAGAAGCTGTAAACACATAGACAGGTTTATTCACTGAATTCTCCTTTGTAAGCCAGACTTCCTGTAAATATTGTAAACGTTTATTAATGGAAGCTTTGCTCTTCACCTTCTTTGTAAATAATTTTGGTTGATTTGTTTTTTGAACGACGGGAATTAGGTGTGTTCCTAGCACGTTAGCTTTGATGGAATTTAAGGAGTAAAACTTTAGTTATGATCGTGTGAAAACCTTCAATTAAAGATTTTAACAGTACTGGAGAAAAATCTAACCAAGGAGGACAAAGCAACATACAATGAGCAGATGGACTCTCAAGATAATGGTACCATGTTCTTGTACAAGTTATTTATTTTTTTAAATAAATATAGCTAAATCTAATGACTATTTTAAACTTAAGATGGTTGGTCTTTGCATTGTTGGTGCTAATGTTTCACTGATTTGTTCTAAATTAAAAAGTAAAAATGAAATAGTAGCTGATCATAAATGTTAGTGAGGTGAACATTTATTTCCCTTAACACTTGACACACAAACTTTGCAATTTGAATTAAATTTCCTGTGGACAAAAAGAAAACCTAAATATTGCTAAATATTTTATTTATGCAAAAAAATTGTTGAAATTTTTCCCTCCCACAAATTTAGGTTGTGAAAACGGTAAACCAGACAATCAGACACATCCCACACACACATCCACATATAACAGGAATAATTATTTTAATTGTGTAATATAACAGGTACACAACATTTTGATTTGAAGTAATGATTCTACAATAATTTTCCAGATTAAGTTAATTGGTGGTGGGGGGTGGGTTTACATATAATCACTCCTTTGTTTAAAGCTTTCAACCATTACTCTGGTAAAATGAATCTACTTGTGGACGATCTAAGCATAGTAGCTAAAGACAAAATAGGTTTCCCAGACGGCCTGCGGACTAATCATTTATCTTCTAATTTATCTCACAGAGGAGTTTTGAAACAGAAAAGTTCCACAGTTTAGCACAGCAGACTTTTACATTGCTTATTAGGAGCAACTACATTGTGGGGCAAATTATCTTCTCTAGGTGGACCTGGAAATCAGATGACAACTTGTAAAATATTGAATAGCGACCAACAAAGAAGAAATGTACTCCAGTGCAAAAAACAATTAGTTAATTCCAGTATATCAGCAACAGAATGCAAAATAAAAACCTAATTTACATTTACCTTCTTTGATGCTGCTGTCTCTCTCCTGTAAAAAGCTCTTCCTGGCAGTTTTAGGTGTCACAATGTACGACTCTCAGCTTTTTAAACAAAACATGATAAATCTTAATATTATTAGAGGCCAAAAACACATTGTGGCTCCTCTTTTACAGGTGTGTTTGAACGAAACGGTACGGACCATTCACAAACAGATGACCAGTCAGTGTCTGAAAGACTGAATGTTATTACTTTAATACAGTGATAAATAAAAAAGATACACACTTTGGTTAGCAAAAAGGCTTTTTTTTACAAAAAGTATTAAAAGCAGCATGTTTCTACTTGATGATTTCAAAGTAAAGATGAAAGAAGTTTGGTTAGTAAAGTAAAAATTTTAGCCAGACTGAAATTTTTAATTTTTATGGTTTTAAAACTGTTCAATTAGACAAAATGCTGATTGAGTTTATGTAATTATGACAAAACTTCTTATAACTTGTTTGCAGATGTCCAGAAGCTGTTGGTGATCAAGGAGGAGTTTTCACTTGAGCAGCAGAACTTGAGTTCCAGACCGGACCAGGAGGACCAAAACCCACCTCAAATTAAAGAGGAAGAGGAGGAGGCTGACGTCATAGAGTTTATTTTCAGTCCTGTCAGTGTAAAGAGTGAAGACGATGAAGAGAACCCTCAGTTTTCACATCTTCATCTGAACCGGGCTGAGGAGAACGAAGGCTCTGTTCTAGATCCAGATCAATATTTAGAATCGGACACTGAAGATAAAACTTCAGACTCTCCAGACGTCTGCAAGTCACATCAGTTAAGACTCAACAGAATCAAAGCAGGAGGAAAGTCTTTCAGCTGCTCAGTTTGTAAAGCAGCGTTTAAAAGGAAAGAGCAATTTCTGGAGCACACAAGAATCCATGCAGGTAAATATTTTTTGGGCTGTACTCTTTGTGGTTAAAACTTCAGTAAAGTTAAGTTTCACTGGTCACACGAAGTGTCACAAATGAAAAAGACTGATCTGTTTGTAAAGAGACTTTTCAATACACCATCACAGAACGAGATTAACTGAAGATCGTCTTGTCTGTTAGCAGCCGAAACATTTAATGTTCTCTACGTCTTTGTTTTTAATTGAATTTGAGATAATAAGCTACTTGTGAGCCAGTGTTTTTTACATTGTCTTGAACCAAATATTAAAGTTTCTGGCAGTATTTAAAAACTCAGCTGCTTTTTCAGACACTTTATGTCTGCTTTTTGCACTTGACAGTTTTTAGAAACATATATTTTAGTTAAGCCTTTGAACACTGAGCTGTGAATCATAACACAATTGAAAAAAATCAACTGAACGAGAGGATGTATGTCTCAGGTTTTGACAGGTTAACATTAAGATTTTTGTTTTTTAACACACTGAACACAATGCTTTGATTTTCCAGTTTAATCACCATGATATAAAATATAATTTAATGCCAATAAATCCGTGTTCCTCAGAATTACTTTTACTTTCTTTTTGTTTGATTGAATCTGAGGTCTTCATGAAGTGGCTTGACAAATAGGATGATTAGGTAAATGATAAACCCATTTGTAAAAACAAAAAAAAAACTTTACAATTTGGTTTTTGTATGGAGCGAATTCTTCATGTAAACTTTTCTATTTTATTCCACCGGTTTGGTTTTCTCTCTATGAACACAACCATTAGACACGATGATAAACAACACAGCCATGTGCTTGCTTGTTGTGTGCACTACATTTAGTTTATGGCTTGATAAAATTCTTTAAAAGTTTTTAATGACAGAACTTTTATATATTACTTCTACCAAACATGCTTAAATTACCCTCCAGCAATAGAGCTTTGGCTGTCGGGGCAAAGAAGAAGGAAGCATCACTTGCTAGGACCCAATAAAAGTAAACTTTGGTCCGTCTGTTATATGTACAATCCATTTTAGGGGGTACCTAAAATCACGAGATTTTGTTTCTATTTACATACAAGAAATGAAAAATGTCTGATTATATGTAATGTATGATTACAAGTAGTATAAAATGTAAAATTCAACCTCCTGTACTTACTGTTTTAACCTCTTCTAAGAGGTCAGACCCTTCATTTCCCCTCCACAATTTAAACCGTATTCATACTGTCAGTACTGACCATTTGCAGTCTTTGTATTTTGCATCTTGTTTTAAGTCCTGCTTCAGAAAAGGCACTGTCTAGGCTCCACAGTGTCTTTTGAATGTTGGAAGGACATGTTATTGGTCCACACTAGGGATGCACGATATTCTCGGCATGGTATCGGTATCGGCCGATATTAGCGCTAAAGTTAAATATCGGACATCGGCCATTCCATCAAAATAACTCACCGATATAAAAGGCACAGTTTTTTTATATATATATTTATATAGTGTTACGTCATTTTTAGCCCCCTTTTTGGCATCTGCATTTGGTAGCAGGCCAAGTTGACAACGACCATGCAGAATAATGTATTTTAATTTCACAGCAGAGAAAACTGTGTGGTCTCTCTCTGTAAGTAGGTCTATGGGGGAAAATACTGGTATTGGTATCGGATATAGGCTCTGTGCACATGCGTCCTGAATCACTTCCGCTTTGACCGGA